CGTGCACCGCGTGCACCGCGTGGCGGAGGCCACCTTTGAGCGCGAGTGGGCGCGCTCGCCGTACACCGCGCTGGTCCCCGCGCGCGCGCTGGCCACGCCGGCGTACGACCTGCCCGCCGCGCCGCCGCGCAAGCCCAACGGCGGCGCGCGCGCGCGGTCGGGGCGCGGCGCCGGCGGCGGCGCGCGCCGGTCGGGCGGCGGCCGCGGCGGCTCCGCCTCGGCTGTGCACCGGACCAAATCTGTGAACTCGTACCGCGCCTACACGCCGCTGCCGGCGGACAAGCAGGCGGCGCTGGCGGCGGCGCTGCAGGACGAGGCGGTGCTGGCGGGGAAGATGGCGGGCGTGGTGGACATCCTGCAGCGCGCCGACGAGCTGCCCACCAACGAGGACGGCGAGGTGGAGCTAGACCTGGGCGTGCTCTCTCCAAAGACGGTCTGGGCGCTGTACGAGTACGTCATCGGGCCGGCGGCGGGGGGCGCGCCGCGTAAGGCGGCGCCCGGTGCCGCCGGCGACGGCGCGGGCTTCCAGCTGGCGGAGGACAGCGATTATGCCCCGGACGATGACGACGATGACTGATGATGGAGCGTCGGGCTTTGGGGGGGGGGTAAACGTGGAGCGACACAGTTGGTGCTTGCCGAGGAAGGAGGTGCCATCGGGAGTGAGCCCTCGCTGAATGGCCGCGAAGACGCCCCGGGGAGGTGCCCCCGCCAGGCTGCAAAGGCCCCCTGGACGAGACTCTCCGGCACAAGCCGGCCTGATTCTACGCCTTCCCCTGCTGGTCCACTCATCACACCTCCACCAGGAGACCCCCCCTCGGTCTCCCCCTCCCTCCTCAACACACAAAAAAAGGAGAATCAAGATTGCGTATGACATATTTGACGACCATCCTCGAGCTTGCAATATTTGCTTTGTGTCCTTCCTTCCTTCCGCTTTCTTCCCCCTCCCTTGGTAGCCACCCTCGATTTTTCACCCGACCACTCGTGATGTGCACCGCGCGCCTTGCTGTAACGAAGCGACAAGGCGGAGTTTTCAGGGTTGAAGGGATTGTGAATGGTGCAGTGACGCCAGGTGGAGATAGCGAGACTGCCACGCTGTCATCCGCTGGTTGGAGGAGGGCCCGCCATCGCAGGGCCCCTGCTCAGGAAGGCAGCGATGCCCGGCCGCTCGTTCCCGCTGCGCGCCGCCTTGGCCTTGGCCATGGCCGCCGCCCCTCGCGAGTTTGACACCGCAGGGACGGGGGTCGGCGCGTCGGCTAGCAGGGCCGCCGCGCTGCGGAAGCCCACGTCCGACAGTGCCTCCCTCCCTGGCAATACAGAGGAGAAGGTGTTCATGTGGAGGGGAGGCTGGGCTCAGACATGGGGCCCCTTGGGCAAGGCTCAGCTATCAATCAGGTGGGGCAGGCACGGCATCCAACCATCAGCCCGGTGTCACCCGTCCCCCGCTCACCCTTGCGCTTGAGCTGGGTCGCTTTGGTGGCGCCCTGCGGCCCCTGCGCCGCACCCCCACCCTTGGCAGTGGGCTTGGGCTTGGGCAGGCAGTTGTCGCAGCGATCCCCACACCGCTCCTGTGTCCACTCCTCGCCAAAGTAGCGCAGCAGGCGGGCGTGGCGGCACTGCTTCTCCTCCTCGCAGTAGTCCCTCATCTATTGATGGGGGGGAGGGGTGGTGTGGTGGGGGTTAGGGGGGAGTGTACAGCCCCACGACTGCACACGACCTGGCAGCTCCTCCCATACTGGATCTCCCACCTGCGCCCCCTGACTCCTGCGCAACCCCCCCCCCTGCCCCCTCCACCCCTTCATTGCACCTGGGACAGGAGCTCCATCTCGCGCTGGAACTGGGCCTTGGAGCGCTTGCCGTGGTGCAGCAGCTGCACGATGCGTGGCACGTCCTTGCGCGCGTAGTACAGCACGCACTCGCAGGGCAGGCCATCGCGCCCGGCACGGCCCGCCTCCTGGTAGTACCCCTCCAGCGCCTTGGACAGGGAGAAGTGGAGCACGTACCGCACGTCCGCCTTGTCGATGCCCATGCCAAAGGCGATGGTGGCCACCACCACGGACACGCGCCCCTGCCGCCAGTCGTTCTGCACCTGCATGCGCGCTCGGGGGGTCATGCCCGCGTGGTAGTGCGCAGCGCTGGTGCCCGTGCAGTCGCGGATGGCGGCCGCCACGCCCTCCGACTCGTCGCGGGACAGGCAGTACACGATGCCGGTGGCATCGCCACGGGACCTGTGTGGGTGTGGGTTTGAGCGTGCAAAATGGCGCTTTTCCAAAATTTTTGGTCATCCCTGTAGTACACTCGTGCAGTCACATATCAGGCCCCAGATCCGGGCGCCGCATGAGACCAACTTTTGCGGTGTGGAAATCAACTGGAGCATATGCCTGGCCCCTGGCCGTACAGCTATCAACATGCATTCTAGCCTCACATTATGTACTCCAGCATGTGGTGCAGGTAGCCGGGGAGCATCGACTCCTCGTTCCGCTTGTAGTCCTTCTGGATCACCCTGGCGTGTGGGGCGGAGTCGGAGGGGGCTGGAGTTGATGAGAGAGGCTCCAAAGGGGGAAGGGAATAGATGTCTTGTCATTTGCTCAAGCTCAAGACGGCAAGCGAAAGGCATGGAAGGGAAAGGGAGGGACGCCACCTGGGTGACTGGACGACTCCCTTCCACGCCCAGGGTCGCTGCCATTTTCAGCAGCATAGCTAGAGTCATCACCCCAACCACAATGCCGACAGGTACACATCCCACTCTTCCACCTCCCACCCTATCCTCTCCCCGAAACGCACTTGAAGGTCAGGTTGGGGCGAAAGAAGGAGACCACGAACTTGCAGACGTAACGCATGCGCAGGGAGGACAGGATGTCCTTCCTCACCTCGGGCGTTGCAGTGGCTGTGAGGGCCATGAGAGGCGTGTGTGGGAAGCAGGCCGACCGTACCAGGCCCAGCTGCTTGTAGTCTGGCCTGAAGTCTGGGGGGGAGGAGGTGGAGAAGATTCGAGAAGAGACGGAAGGAGCGTGAGTGTGGGTTGCAAGCTGTGGCAGGATCATTGCAGACTGATGCTGTGAGGAAGGTTCACAACCTTCTCATTCTATGAATGAGTAAATTTCCCCCCAGCCTCACCATGGCCCCAGGCAGAGACGCAGTGCGCCTCGTCAACCACGACGCGGCTGAGGTGGCCCTGTTGATGGAGATACGGGAGGAGGGTGTGAGGACATGTTATGAAGAGAGGATGGTGGACAGTGCACACACTGATGCCGTGTCCTTCTCTGAGACCTGCACCTAGTATTCCGCAATCCATTGGAGCCCACGGTGCTGGACCGAGGGGGATGGAAGAGAGCCCGACAGCATGCCAAGAGACACACACGCCCCCTGCTGCCCCTGGGTTCCGCACCCTGTTGCTCAAGGAGGTGAGGGCAGCTTTGAGCCGCTCGCCCTTGACCAACTGCTCAGGAGTGACATAGAGCAGCTTCAGGCTGGGGTTTGGTTTGGCCAGCTCCATGAAGACCGCCTGGTGGTGGGGAGGGAGCAATCATTCACTGTCAGTCGTGGGAAAGCAAAGGGGAGTCCATGCCTGGGGACCACGACGAGCTAGGGCCCATGCATCACCCCCTGGAGAGATGCATGGGAGAGTTACAGTGCCTAGGTACAGAGCACAGCCCTGCAGCCACTTGTGCTCACCCTTTCTTCCTTACCCTGGTCTCTACTACGCCCTGCTGGGAGGACAGGTAGGAGGCGGGCACGCCGCCGCAGCGCAGCATGCACAGCGCCTGGACCTGATCTTGCATCAGGGAGAGCAGCGGCGTCACCACCACAGTCAGCCCCTTGGACAGCACGGCCGGGAGCTGCAAAGAGGGGAGCGTGGCACGTGGAAGACTAGGGTGTCGTGCGGGGTGGATGCAGTCTCACGCCGGGCAGGGAAAACCCATGTGCATGTGACGACTGCTGAATCGGCTGGCATGCCATGTCAGCCCTCCATCCCCACCTGGTAGGTCAGCGACTTCCCTCCACCTGTCGACATAAGGACGAAGCAGTCGCGGCCGCTGAGAGCCGCCTCCACGATGTCCCGCTGCCGGGGACGAAAGCTTTGGTTGCCAAACACCTACAACGAGGGGGGGCAGGGGCGAAGACACCAGATTGTGAGGGATCCTACAGCGCCTGAACCGTCGGCAGTCTCTTCAGATTGACGTAGTGGCCACGCAACAGCAGTGGTAGGCATACGATGAAGGTGCTTCGTGCCCGCCGAGCACAGTCTTTTAATGGTCTGCTGCGAAATGGAACCTCGGAAACCGCCAGAATTTCACAGAGATAGGTTCAGCGGTCACCACGCATGCTGACTCTGCCCCTTCCGTTTCCAACGACTCTCACCATCCAGTTGGCAAAGTCCAGCATGTCCATCGCATGTTCCTGCGGCGTGAGGCTGCGTGAGATCGGGGCGGTCTGCCCGGCTGCTCCTCGGGGCGAGCCGCGGGGAGGGCAGTGCGGAGTGCGGTGGTCCTGAGCGCTGCTCGCCTCGAAGAGAAGGTGCCGGTGCCGCGCGCGAGCTTGTGTGGGCCGTGGAAAGAAGTGGGGAGCCACATCTTCGGCGTCCAGGCTGATGTCGTCGGCATCGTGGCTGCGGCCCCGCCCGCCCTCGCTAAGGGGTGACCGTGTGCGCCAGGGAGACTCTGCCTGGACCTCGCACACCTCCTGGTCTTCCTCCTCGCTGCTGCTGTCGGAGACAAGGTCCAGGAGCAGCTGGTCAGACTCCTCCCCTGCTGCCTCCATGGTAGCATTGAGGGTGGCGAGTGGGCGCTGCACATACATGGAGGGGAGGCTGTCAGCCGGGACTGGGCCCCCAGCGCACCCACCTGTAGCTGGATCAGAGCGTTCCATGAACCACTGCAGGAACGCAGAGACGGCAGCCTCGTCACAGGTGTCGGGACACAGGCGAACATCCTTTTGATAGTCTTTGAAGGCAGCATACAGCTCAGTGGGACCCACTGTGTCTCTATACCCTGCAGAAGATGGAGGGAGGGCTTATGTCATAGATTGAGACCCTGAAAGAGGCGTACATAAAGAGTAAGTAAAGCCATGCCTCACCAAAGACGTCGAGGAGGTGCTCCACCACTGGGTGCGGCTCCGCCATGGCGCCCGTGGTACCGAGGCTGGGGAGTGGCCTCGGAGTCAGGACCTTGCATAGCAGCAGATCATCGCTGCAACTTATTTCTCGACATCATGAAATCGCAAGCCTTTCGCCTGCCGATCATATTATCTGTCAGAATGCACTTTGATTTGCGATTCGCGCCCTGCAATCCAGGTCCAGGCTCGCGCCCACAAACCAGCATATGCCCACCCCGTGTGCTTCCATTGATCTTGAGCATGCGATGGCGATGCTATAGCCGTTGTTCTCAAGAACATCAATTGAAGCCTATAAGCATGCTTGATAAGTGCTAGTCGGGATGCGGCGTTTGCCAGCTCTCGGAGCTCTGTGTCGTCGTCTCATAGCGAGCGACCTGCCCCGCGTCGCAACCCCAAGCCTTGCTTTGCGCCTAATTGGAACATCGGAATCCGGCTTCAATTCCATTGCCCATTGCTGCGAGGTCGCATCCCATGCCAGTCGAACATTCTCGGCCTCGACTGGGTTGGAGCCCCCCTCACCAGTGATATCGACCCTGAGCGACTTCAAGGCGCTGACCGATCTGAGCATCAACACGCCCATCGTGGTGTACGCCACTGCCAGCGCCGATGCAGAGGTGGACCCAGAGCTGGTCAGGGCCGTGCATGCCTCCAGGGGCTCGGTGCGCCTGGCCCAGCTGGACGCGGGGTCTGCCCAGCTGAGCCGCCTGACCGCCCAGCTCCACATCACCAACCTGCCTGCCACCCTGCTGCTGTTTGGGGGCAGACTCATGGACTCCCAGCCGGGGGCCCCCTCCGGCCAGGAGCTGCGGGACTACCTGGCCCAGATCCAGAAGCTGGCGGACGACGTGGCGCGGCACCGGGCGCAGCAGGCGGATGCAGCCGCCTCGGGCGGGGGCACTGGGCCGAACGCCACCCCCGCGCAGCTCCTCGAACAGGGGTAGGGGGCCTCGCACGTGGAACTGTTGGAAGAAGGGGAGGGGATGGTGGTTTCCTGTGCAGGTTGGGGCCTTCTCGTCTTCGCGCCGCCAGCGTCTCCCATTTGGCCTATCTGCTAATGGCTTTGCCGTTCTAAAGCCCTTTCCCCCCCCCGGCCTTGTCTGTCCAGGTATGCAGCCCTGCAGAGCGCCGACGCCGACGTCGAGACTGCTGCCCTCCCCTGGTTCCAACAAGTACTGATTGAAGGCAGCCCGGCTTCGGATGCGGAGCGCTGCAAGGCGCTGGCGGGGGCGGCGCAGTGTGCGCTCCTCAGGACGCCCTGCGACGTAGAGGCCGCGGCGGGGCTGGTGGAAGCCGCGCAGCAGGTGCTGCCGGAGGACAAGAGGCCGGGCGAGGTGGCCCAGGCGGCAGCGTTCCTGGACCTCGCCCGGGAGCGGTTGGCCCTGGAGGAGGGCACTGAGGCTTCAGACCCCAAGGTACTGATAGGGCTGATTAGTTGGGGATTATAGGAGCAGGCACTTGGATACCCATGTTGTAGAAATACAGCGATGGGAGGCAAGCACTGGCAGATCGGCGGTATAGATAGGCAGCCCTGCCAGCGGACGTATGCTCTCCGACTCTGCCCCACGCCATGTGCCTGTGCATGTCCTGTCTGCCACGCAGGAGTCGGCGTCCTGGATTCATGGAGTGCGCGTCATGCCCATCCTGGTATTCATCCTTGCCCATTTCCTGTCTGCGGCACCTCAAAGTCACCCACCTCCCGCCCCAATCCCACGATGCAGGGCGCGGAGGCCGCCTTCCGCATGGCCCACAAGCTGTTGGCAGAGAGGCAGTACGCCGAGGCGTTGGACGCGGGGCTCAAGAGTGTGCGGGCGGATCGGGGGTGGCATGAGGAAGCCGGGCGGAAGCTGCTGCTCCGCATGTTTGAGGCGCTGGGCGCGGGGCACCCTGCGGTCAAGCCCGCCCGCTCCCGCCTCTCCAACATCTGGTTCTTGTAACGCTCATGCAATGTGCAAGAATGATGAACGCAGCCCTCACCCTCTCGAAATAGACCCGTCTTTCAGGATTCACTTCACACTGTGGCAGTGTGGGTGTTTGGGGGTGCTCCAGCCAGCAGAGGGAGTGCACGGCAGGCGGAGCCCAGCAGGTCACCATACCCGGGGCACTGCTCACACTGGCAGACAGTGGCTTGGCTGGCTGGAGTTCTACAGCATGCTCGCGCTTGGGGGCCTGGGGGGTGCAGCAACGGGGAGCGGCGCACCGAACCACCCTGACAATGTTGGGAGGTGAATCCCCAGGACCACTGGTGTGCACAGCCAGCCCAGGCCTCTACGCCTCTCCTCCTCCACCCTGCGGCTCCTCGCCCTCCCTCTCGCGGGGAAACAAGGCATCGACAAAGGCGGCGGGGTCGAAGAACTGGAGGTCCTCCAGCCCCTCCCCCACGCCCACCAGCTTGATGGGCACTCCCAGCTGGTCGATGACAGAGACCACGGCGCCGCCCCGACTCGTGCCGTCCAGCTTGGTCAGCACCAGACCGGTGACGCCGACGGAGGCGCCAAACTCCCGCGCCTGGGCCAGCATGTTGACCCCGGTGGTCCCGTCCAGGACCAGCAGCACCTCGTGCGGCGCGCCCGGCAGCGCCGAGGCCAGGCTGCGCCGGCACTTGGCCAGCTCCGCCATGAGCCCGGGGTCGGTGTGGAGGCGGCCAGAGGAGTCGCAGAGGAGCAGGTCAAAGGCCTCGCGCTGCGCGCGCTGCGCGGCGCGGAAGAGCACGGCGTCGGGGCGCGCGCCGGCGGACGCCGCCTCCACCTCTGCGCCCGACCGCTGGGACCACAGCCGCAGCTGCTCGCCGGCGGCCGCGCGGAAGGTGTCCCCCGCCGCCAGCAGCACGCGCGCGCCGCGGGAGGTGAAGCGGTGCGCCAGCTTGCCGATGGTGGTCGTCTTGCCCCCGCCGTTGACGCCCACGATGAGGTAGACGGTGGGGCCGCCGCCTGGGGTACCTGGGGTGCCCGTTGCAGCGGCACCATCTGATGCCGCTGCATCGCCGCCAGTCTCTGCATCGCTCGCCACACCCGCCGCGTCGCTGCCCGGCGCAAAGGCAAGCTCGGAGGACCCGCCTGATGGCCGGGCGACCAGACTCAGGACCGAGTCGCGCAGGGCGGCCTTGATGTCCTCGGGGGTGCGCAGGGCGCCGGACCTCACCTGCTCCCGCACCGCATCCACGATCTTGAAGGCCGTCTGAGGTCCAAAGTCGGAGCTCTGGAGATACGAAGATGGGGAGTTTTGGGGGGGGGGGGGCCGCATTAGGATTGGCTGGCAAAGATGTGAGGATTTGGCTGTCCAATGCCTCCCTCGCAACTTGAAGATGTGTTCCCAGCAAACATTCAGCGTCCGGTCGTGCAGCATTCCTCTCTGGGCGCCATTGAATCAGTAGATGCAAGAAGCCCGCTCCTCCCTCCCTGGGCGCTTGCGCCTCAGTATACGAGCCCAGGCCACTCACGATGAGGGCATCCTCCAGGTCCTCCAGTGTGGCATCGGCATCCTCCAGCCTCCAGTAAGTCAGAATCTCGTTCACAACCTACACATGTGCCAGTCGGGGCAGATTGCAAGGGCATCTCAAGGTCCTTGTAGCCTTTCCAGTGCCAACAGCCACGTCAAGATCTTGTTCAGAATCCACCTGGCCACAACATCAATACTTCTGGGCGCCACAACTCACTCCAAGGCGCTCTCTGCTCTTCTTGGCGCCCTTGAACATCCTGCCAGCATCCTCAGCAGCCTTCTCCCTAAACACGCGGGCCAGCTTCTGCAGGGTGCTGGCCCCTCCAGCGCTCGCATGTGTCTGCATTTGGTAGGAAGATGGAGAAATGTTGCCACCGGCGTGTAAGCTTCCTGGAGGAACAAATGACGCATTCATCTAGGTTTCAAAATTTCCGCAGGGTTGTCATGCAATAGAAGAGGCATGACATCGAAAGCACCCAGTCCACTGACATTCCGCCCCTGTGCACACCGTGACGCTAGAATGTGGTTTCTGTCTCCTGGAGAGACTCAATGTGGCGTCGCGCGGCATACGCAGTCCAAGGGGGGGCGTGATCTTCCCTGCACTGCTGCATGCCGGGCCCCCTCCATGCAACAGCCCCATCATCTCAGAGGCTCAGCGATTGGCGCTGAATAAGACTTGATGCAGTCTGGTGCATTAACATATATTGGTAGCAACATACCTCGCCGCTTCATGACCATGAGTGTCGCTCATAAATGCAGCGCGCCCAGTCGCATGGCGTATTCCGTGATCTGTCGGGCAAATCTAATCCTCTTTCGGCCGCTGACGTGGACTGGAAGTGCTTCATAGTCCTTACAGCGAAAGATTCATGTTTGCGCTGGAACTGATTCAAAATGTCCCACACGGATTACCCCTAAAATCTTTCTGGGGATCTATTGTCTCAGCAAAGGAGGGGCCTGGGCCCTGCCCATGAGCTGCTCGTTTTTATGCCGCAAAAGGCTTGCGCAGAGCCAGTGGACGCATCTCCCCTTCTCAGTGGCCTCCCAAGGCCCCGCAGGTTGCCTGTATCCTGTGCCGCACAACCTCCTGCAGGCTCCTGGTGTTCATGGCCATGAAAGCGGACCACTCGTCAAAGTCTATGCCGCCGCTGGCGTCCGTATCGGCCTGCGAGAAGACCAGGGCCACGTCCTCGGAGTCGATCCCATACTCCCCCAGCCCCCGCGCCAGCTTGCCTGTGCACAGTTGGGAAAGATTGGGAGGATCACATGGGGCTGCCATGAGCTACGCGGGGTGAGGAGGGGGCTGCGGCACCTCGTCACTGGGGTGATCGCGGGCCAGGGTCGGCAGCAGGGCGCCTCGCCCGCCGCCGCCTGTGCAGCAAGGCACCCAGGCCCCCAGCCTCTGCACCCACCGAGGGTGATGAGCCCGCTGGCGTCGCTGTCCAGGCGATCGAACAGGCTGCGCATGAACACGGCGCGCCCCGGCGCTGACCAGCCCAGCGTCGCCACGGCAAAGTCGCGCCAGGGCACCCGGTCCCGGGGCCCACCCCCCCAGCCCAGCGTGCGCGCCATGCGCTCGCTTTCCTCCACGCTCAACTCATGGCCCAGGCGGCCCAGCCCCGCGCGGATGTCCGCGGGGCTCAGGCCCCTCGACCCCGGGCAGGTCACGGCGGCGCCGGCGGGGTCTGGACTTGTTGCTGGGGGAAAGAACACCTCGTACAGCTCGGGCAGCATCTCCTGTGTGGGTGGTGGGAGGGGGAGTCGGTGGGTGGGTGGGTAGGTGCATGGACTGCCTGCCGGAACGGGCCTGGCCTGCAAGAGCCTGGAGCTGCATGTGTCGGACTGCATCCAAGATAACGAGAAGGCGGCCCCAAAGCAGCCCGATCTCTCCTCGGCCATGGTACGCGTCCAGGAGATACCCTAGGTCTTCACTGCATACGCCGGGGTCAAAAGCACCGATGCCCACCTTGGAGATCTGCTCCTCGGCCACCAGCATGGCCACCTGGCGGACGCGGGACATGGTGGCAAAGTCTTTCAGGCGCTCGTGCACGATGGGCGGCAGGGGCTCGGCGCTCTGCTGCCCCGTCACCCAGGGGTGCTGCGAAATGTGTGGAGTGAGGAGCCTTGTGAGGTGGTGAGACATCGCGCGGTCTTAACCGGTCACCCTCCGGCAGTCAAGGCCACACCCAGGGTCCCACTGCCTGGCAGGAGTGGCGGCCAGCGGGAGCGAGCCTGCCGCCTGGACACTGAGCCCCAACATGCAAGTAATGGGCAGCCAGCTTGCCAGGACCCTGGTTTCCTCGGCACCCTGTTGGCCACACCCTTCCTCCAATCCCCATTCTCACCCCCCGGCCCCCCCGCCAAACATCACAACATTCAACTCACCCGGCAGAGCTGCGCGGCGGTGGGGCGGCGCGCGGGGTCGCGGCGCAGCATGGACTTGACCAGCGCGCGCGCCGGGGCGCTGACGCGGGGCCAGGGCTCGACCGAGAAATCCAGGCGGGCGCGCGCCGCGGCGGCCCTCTCCTCGGCCTCAGTGTCTCCCCAGAAGGGCGCCAGGCCCGACAGCAGGATGTGCAGGACCACGCCCAGGGACCAGACGTCGGCGGGGGTGGCGTAGTCGCGGCGCAGCACCTCGGGCGCCATGTAGTAGGCGCTGCCCACCACAGCGCGCATGCTGTGCCCCGGGCGCAGGAACTGGGACAGCCCGAAGTCGGCAGCCTTGATCTCCGCGGTCGCCGGGTCGGAGGTGCTCAGCAGGAAGTTCTCCAGCTTGACGTCGCGGTGGACGACGCCCAGCGCGTGGCAGTGGGCCAGGAAGCGGGCCATGGCCCGGAAGTGACGTGCCACCTGCGCCTCGGACGGGCTGTCGGCGTGGGGGCAGCCCAGGCGCTGCAGCAGCTCCCCGCCGGCCGCCAGTTCCAGCACCAGGTGCACTGCCAGCTCGTCCTCGATGCACTCCACCAGGGACGCCACGGTGGGGGTGCCCCGACAGCATCGTGGGGTGTGGAGGAAGGGGGGAAGAAGGGGGAAGGGGGAGATTTAAATTCTTGGGGCTTCAAGGTCTTGTGCACGGACGCGCCTTGCTGAGCAGCATCGGGACAGGGGTCGATGACGGATGCCCAGGAACCTGCCCGAGGGGCACCGTCGTCCCAGCATCAGCACAGCTGCCCTGCAGCAGGGACGCCGTGGGGCTGTGCGGCGAACGATCCGCCGCATGATCCCCTGCCAAGCCGCCATTCCCTTTCCCCTCTTCCTCTCACCTCAAGACCCACCTGCAGGATGTGGACTTCGCGGCGCAGGCCCTCCACCTGCGAGCGGCGGCGCAGCCAGCCCTTGTAGATGGTCTTGCACGCGTGCCGCGTCTCCTTGACTAGGTGCACCGCCTCGCGCACGACGCCGTCGGCGCCCCGGCCCAGCACCCGGCCCAGCTGGTATCGGGCCTCAAGGTCAGAGTGGCCGCGCCCCAGGATGTTGTGAGTGCGGAGGTAGGCGTCCTGGGGGGTGGTGAGGGGGAGGAAGAGGGAAAGAGGAATGGCAGGGAGCAGTGGTGGACGACTGGGAGCCAGGTAGTGGGACCTGGATTCAAAAGCAGGAGGAACACAGCACGGCCCTGTCCGGGTAACATTGCGCCATGCACCCTGCCCGAGCATGCATACATGCAGAATGACACAAATCAAAGTCGCGCACCGTCTTCGTAGGGCTGCCGTGCATGTCCTGGAGCTTGGGGGGTGCATCCGCCGGGTGCGTCGACTGGGGGTATGCGCCCGGGCCCAGCAGGGGCTCGCTCCATGGCGGGGGCCTGGCCTTGCCGTACGTCATCAGACCGCATGTCAGGACCTGCAGGCACCCTCGCCCACACTCCTGCATGCTGATCGGCGCCTGGGGCGGGCAGCGACAGGGTTCACCGCCTCATGCAGGGCAGAGCATTCGCGCTGCGCTCCCAGCCCTCTCTAGATCTGGCGGTGGATCCAGCCCCACAAACCATGCAGGTTGCTATGCAGTAGCTAGGCGATACGGTGGCCCAGCTGTGTTGCGCGACAGCGATGTCCGGGCACCGATATCTGGGGCGCGAGAACGAACGCTTCGGGCGGGGATGAGATGCACATGCAAACGTCCCACTTGCTCGCTCAGCTCCGCTGGACAGGTCCGAGGTAAAGGTTACAAGTTTGCCGACAGGTTGGAAGAAGAGGTGGGCAGACTCTGCTGGTCATTAACATGTGCATTGGCTCCTGCGGCCCCCCTGCCATTGTGAAAGCTCTCGCAGCGAGGGTATGTAGGTTGGAGGAGCAGCAGCGAGGAAACAGGGTATGGAAAAGCGCCCAGTCCTCACAGGGCATCTTGTGTACAGGATCGGCGGTGGTTCAGATGACAAAGTCATCCACCCCGCCTGGTCTCGTAAGCGCGTCCACCGCTTGCTGTTGGGATGGGGGGAGCTGACAGTGCTGAGGAGTAAAGGATCCCTTGGGTAGCATGGGTGCTTCTGGAACACCCATGGCAGTCGCCTGTCCCTGGCTGTGAAACCCACCACCCCAGAAAGTCCAGCCCAGGCCACACCCGCACCCTGCACCCAGCATGCTACACTCAAATCGCTCCCTCACCTCGGCGACGACTCTGGGGCAGCACTCGCTCCACTGGTCCATCAGGATGGAGGGCAGGCCTGCCACCAGGTGGGTGTGGTGCTTGGAGGTGAGGATCACCTGTGCTCCTGGGATCCGTCCTGAGCAGGACGGCGCACCACCGCCCCCCGGCATGAGCAGTGTAGGATGCCGGCACCCACATCCTCTGCGGCGCATCCCAACCCCCCTCCGCAGTACCCCCTCCTCCCATCCCTCACCCGTGATCTTGCCGACCTCCTTGGCGGGTGAGCCGGCCACCATAGTGTGCGGGGGCACCTCCTTGAGCACCAGGGACCCGGCCGCGATCTGCGCCCCCTCGCCGACACGGATGTTGCCAAGCACCGTGGCCGAAGCGCCGATCAGCACGTAGTCGCCGATCTTGGGGTGCCGGTCCCCAGACTCCTTGCCAGTGCCTTTGAGTGAGGGGGGAGATGGAGTGTGCGGGGGGTGAGGAAAGGGGCCGCATCTCAGCCAGGAACGGGGCAGCCCAGGCTGCGAGGAAGATCCTCCTCCGGGCCTGGTTTGTGCATGATCAGGGCAAGGCCTGCGGGCTCCCACGCGACAGGCTCTCGCCGGCACGCCGCCCCCTGAGCTTCCCCCGAACACCACCACTCTCGCTCCTTGGACCCCCTACCATCGCCCCAAACAAGCCCCACGACTTGCACCTCTCCGGCCCCCCCCCCACCCCCCCACCACACACACGCACACAGGCCCTCCCCAGCCTCACCTCCCAGGGTGACGTTCTGGAGGATGGACACGTTGGCCCCGATCACAGCGGTGGCGCCGATGACGACCCCTGTGCCGTGGTCCAGCAGCACCCCCGCCCCGATGCGCGCGGCGGGGTGGATGTCCACGGCGAACACCTCGTTGCTGCGGCTCTGCAGCGCGCTGGCCATCATACGCCGGCCCTGGTGCCAGAGCACGTGCGCGATGCGCTGCACCTGCAGCGCGTGGAAGCCCTTGTAGTAGAGCAGGGCCTGGGAGAGGCCGGAGCAGGCAGGGTCACGTTCGCGCACCGCCGCCAGGTCGGCCAGCGCGGCGGCCACGATGCTCGGGTGGGAGGCCAGCGCGGCGCGGAAAATCTCCGACAGCTCGGAGGGGAGCAGCGTGGCGTCTGCCAGCCGCGCGGCCAGGATGAAGGCCAGGGCGCGAGGGAAGGAGTCGTGGGCCAGGATGCTGGCGTGCAGGAAGCTGGAAAGCAGGGCCTCGGAGTCGGAGTCGCGCTGCGCCTCCTCCCTGTCGTGAAGGGGATCGGGTGAGGTGGGGTGGATGTGAACCTGGGAGAGCTGCGGGGGCCGATCGCGGGCTGTCAAATGACAAGTGGGGGTATTGGGGTGGAGTCGGGACTGGCGTACGTGCCGTGCAGACCGGCCCCTGCAGGGGTGGCCAAAATGGAGGCACATGCGCGCAGCACGAGGGGCAGGGGCTCGAGTCGGGGACCTGGGAGGCATGCATGCCTCGTGGGCCAGGCACGCAAGCAGAGCAGTGTGTGAGCATGCAGAGCCACCCCAGGGTATCCCCCATCCATTACCCCCCCTACCGAATGGTCTGCCAGATGCGGTCCCCCGCGGGACAGCTCACGGGTGGCTCCGCTTTGTGGTTGAGAGGGTCACCATGCGCGGACAGGGTGGCACCCCCGGCCCCGGTCGGGGTGCTCGCTGCGCCGGAGTTGAGGAGGGAGCAGAGGTGGGGTTCCGGGCACGCCCGTGCGACTGAATCTCAGGGGCATACAGGCCAGGCCACCACTGATCCATCTCACCTCGGGTCATGTGTCGAGCTGTGGGGCGGCCTCGCGGGCTCCGTGAATGACGGCGGGCGCACACAGTGCGGGTTGGCTGGGGGGTGGTCTGGGCAGCGTGCAAGGCAGTGGTCTGGCTGGCCATGCGGAGCGCCGACGGGCCCTCAGTGGCGCCCTGAGATGCGATGGGCACTGCTCGATATGTGGGATGCGACGGCATGAGCGGCCCGGGCGCCTTAGGGCAGGTCCCGAAAGGAATCTAGGTGTCCCTCCGAAGGATTTCCAGGTCGGGGGCGCGAATTCTGGTCTGGCTACGGATGGGAGCGATCCTCATGCGCAATAGTACGCCGCACACTGGCATCAGAGCATACTTTCATATACACCAACGTTCAGCGAAATGAGGAATGTGCCTGGCGCAGTGTCAAAGGGCTATGTCGCTCCGCCGGGGGGCCAAAGCCCAGTCCGTATCCTGAACAGGACTCCAAAGATCTCTCAGGCCGTACAGAAGTCGCTGAGGGAGCGTCAGAGGGTGAGTGGGATGCCGCGACCCGGATGGCGCTCGGCATGGTGCTCAGTGTTGGAGTGACCTTGCACCTTGCCCCACTGCAGGCTGTCATGGAGACCAGGAAGGCAGAGCACCTGCGAGAGTGTGCAGAGTGGGAGGCCCAGATCGCTCAGGAGGAGGCCATGCACAAGGTGAGTCGCAGCTTTTATGACAGTGTAACGGGTTAAAGAGTGGGCCAGCCTGTTTTGTCAAGCTCCAGGAGGAGTCATGCAGCTGCCATGGGAATGCACGCGTCCGCCATGAGTGGTCATTCGTCAACATCTTCACAACCCGCTCCCTGCATCGTGCAGGTGCCCGCGCCAGGCAGACCGCGCGTACCCAGCTCCCAGCCGCAGCAGGTCGAAGCCACGCTGCATCGAGTGCAGGAAGAGGAGCGGACGCAGCGCGATCGCCTAGTTGCCCAGCAGGAAGAGTTCAGGGCCAGGGTTTTGGCGCGTCAACGAGAATCACAAGGTTGGCTCGCCAGGTCTGGCCCGGTCCTGCAGGAGGCCTCTCGCTTCAGTCAGCTTGTGTCGGCGCTGGGCTCCCAGAGGGGTGGACAACCGATGGAACGGTATGACAGTCACCAAAGCTGGGAGACGCGAGGTTGGCAGGGCAGCAGCCCTGCGTCCTCCGTGCGGCCTGGGCGTGAGGAGCGCAGTCATCGGACCTATGAGCAGCCCAGGGAGAACAGGGCGCAGCGTGACCCCCCTCGCGCAAGTCCAGCAGGGCAGGGCGGGACCAGCTGGTCTGGGCACCCGGCTGCGGAAACAGATGACTGGTGATTCCTGTGGCCCCCTTGCGCGAGAGTGGAATGAGCAATTAGTGTCGCTCGATAATCAGAGGGATTGTAGAAATTTTCAGATGGCGTGCGTGAGGGTGCATTGCCGTCTGTGATCTCTACAACCATGGAATCTCCTAGAAAACATCCAATCCATCCGCTGAAACAGTAACACCATGCACAATGTGCAGCTCCCCTCTGTGTGCTCCTACTTCACACCGCAGTCATGGACCCCACCTCAAGGGAAGCCCAGATCCACGTGGATGGGGAGTTGGAGGTTTCTGTCGTGGACCGCGGGGCTGATGGGTTGGTGAATATGATGTTGTCCATGAACCTTTCATTTGCTGGCTTGCCATGTCCCATCGCCTTTGGTGGGACCCCGCCCCTGCTTCCCTCACATCCCCCCCCGTCATTCCCTTACCGGTAAGCCTTTGTGGCAACCGCCTGCGCCAGTACCATCATGGGAATGTCCTGAGCAGCCGGTGCAAGCCCGACAGAGAGACATCTCGTGTTGCCTGATGCAGGATGCCCGCCCACGTGGGTCTTCGGCGCCGGACACATTCGACCTTCATGAACCAGGTCACTTCATGCCCGAGATATCGCCGAGAAAATAAAATCCATGCCTTGTATATTTAGCCTGCGTTTCCATGCGAGCATGGGGATGCATCGCTCCAGCTTGCGGTGCAAATCTCAGATCGGCGATCTAGGGTTTTTGAATCCCAGCAATCTCCAAGCGTACGCCGAGCAACCTCTGCACGCGCCAGATACAGCACGCCATGCGATAAGACCTTCTTCCATGGTTTGGGTTGTGAGGCCTTGGATTCCCGTCTGGAGTCTTTTGAGAGGGTAAATTTGTGCTATTGGCCTACCTTCACCGCGTGCGGTCCGAGTGTCCTGGGCGCCGAACCCTGCGCACGGCACACGGAGAGTCTATACACCCGGTCGGGTTGGTACTCGCCCGTCCCAGCTCACCGAGGGCGCGGCACAACTCATCTGAACAACAGCGGGAGTCCCCCGAACCGCCACAGCACGAGCCACCATGACGTATTTCAGTCTGGCCGCGCTCTTCATTATGTTCCGTGAGACCCTGGAGGCGGCCATCATTGTTGCCGTCCTCCTGCAGCTCATGGAGCGGCTGAAGATGCCGGAGTTGAAACGATGGGGTAAGCCCAGGGGTGGGATGGCAATGCCGAACCTCGCGCCCACACCGAATCGCATGACGTACGCCTTCCCACCGGCAAGTATGCTGCAGTCCGCATCCCCACCACCTCGCCTGCTTTACCAGAAGGGATGCAAGGCTCGTTGGCAAAGTAGTCGCATGCCCTGTGTAATTTCCCCAAAATTGGGCACGATGACAGGCATACCACCCAATCATCATGGAGACGGCCTTGTCCTCCTGTCAGCCCTCCCACTCCTCCTCGTCGACACAGTTTGGATAGGAGCAGCAGCAGGGGTGGGCGTGGCCCTCATCGTGGGCGTGGTCTTCATCGTCCTGTTCTATGTGGCAAACAACTCTATCTTCACGGGGAACGCGGAGAACCTCTTCAAGGGTTTCATTTTCTACATCGCGGTCCTCCTCATCGTGTACGTGTCCTTCCACATGCTCAAGTTCTACAACCTGGAGAAGAAGTGGAGATATAAGCTGGAGCAGGCCTTCAAGGAGCGGGAGGTGGGGGCAGGGGCCGGGTTGGAGGGGGGTGCATGCATGCTGGGTGTCTCGTGGTCGGCGCCAACCCCACCACGCACCGAGTCGTCCATCCCTGTCTGCGCGCCCGCCATCACGCAGGGCATGAAGAAGAGCTACAGGTACACCGTCGCCTTCCTCGCTTTCTCGGCTACGGTGCGTGAAGGCATTGAGTCGGTGCTCTTCCTCACCGGCGTGTCCGGCGGGCAGGGCATCACCTCGGTCATCATCCCTGGGATCGTCGGAGCCATCCTGGGGCTGATCGCAGGCTGCATCATCTTCTACACGTGAGATGCCGGGGGGGGCCTTGGGTCCCGGATCGGCGGGGTGCCTCTCCACCGAGGCTGGCGGTGGACGCTCGCTGGCGTGGGCGGCCGCTCGTTGCACAGCGGGGGCTGGGCGCGGGGGCTGGGCATGCCGCATGCTGCGGCCGGCAGAGGGCGTCGGCGCAGGCATCATCCCCCCCTTCCTCCCGGCTGGAGCGTGCCGGGCACAGAGCACGAGGTCACCCCCCCCTCCACCACCTGTGCAGGGGGCGGAGCATCCGCAGCATGAAGTGGTTCTTCATCATCATGACCGTGCTCCTCCTCTTCATCGCCGCCGGTGAGTGGGTGGGGACGCGCCAGTGGGGATCATGTCCCATGGTGCCACCCTCCCCGTGGACAGCCTCTACGCTGTAGCCCTCTTTATTTGAGGGTTTGACAGCTGGGACGGCGCTCACTGGCCCCCCTCCTGGGCGCTCTCTTGTTCCACTTGACATGTATGGCCCTCCGTAGTCCCCCCCGCCTCCGCTCCCCTCCCCCCCCCAAAGGCCTCCATTTTCAACACACTCCCTCCACCCCCTTTGTTCACACAGGCATGCTCATGAACGGTACCGCCGCCTTCCAGGCCGCTGGCTGGTTCGGCGCGACCTACCCCTACGAGTGGGTCCCCTGGTCCAATAAGATCCTGTGGAACACCATGGGCTGCTGCAACCCCGACACCAACGAGTTCTGGTCCCTGATCCGCGCGTTGTTCGGCTACCAGGCCATGCCCACCAACATCCAGCTCCTCTATTACTGCCTCTTCTGGTTCGTGGTCCTCTCCGCCATGGCCTACCGCGCCTGGCTGGGCGTGCTGACCGACGAGCACCGCTTCGCGGCCGAGGACGAGGAGGGGCGCCCCGCCTCCTTCAACCCCACCTATGACGGCGAGGGCAAGCTGGGCAAGGGCGTGGAGGGGGCCTCCGGCTCTGACAGCTCCCCGCGCCAGCACAGCAGCGAACGCGCGTCGGGGGACAAGTTCGAGGACGCGGCGGTGGCGGAGCCGTCCAGTGCCGCGGTGCCCGCCCCGCCCGTCGCGGTGAAGGCCGAGTGAGCCGCGCTCGTGCTTTCAGTGTATGCTGCCCTTTCCTGTACACCCCCGGCTTGCGTGCAGGCTCCGCCCGGTGCGCCGACGGGCCTGCATGTTCGCCCCCCTTTTCGCTCCCTCTCCTTGCTTTCTCGCCGTGGTGAGCCGGCGTGGCGCGCCTGCCTGTCGGCATGCTTGGCCCCTGCCCCTGCACAGGGTCTGGGTCCTTTGGCGTAAGTTTGTTGGTACAGCGAAATCTATCGGGGTGGGATGTTCATGCACCAATCTCCGAAGGCGGTTTATCCATGAGATTGTGTCTCCCTCAAAATTGAGCGCGCGCTCCAACGTCAGCTGGGCGATGCCACACCCAACAGGCCTCTGCCCCGAAAGGCGAAACCGTCGGGCTGCACCTCCCCACATGCACTCATACATATTTGAAAGGTTGTGTTGCCCGAAACAGCAGAGTTTCTGGCGCCCCTCACATCCCGTCTGACGCTCCGTCGTGAACGTTCGAACTGTTGCCTGGCCCATGGCCCCGCGGCTCAGGCGCATCGCGCGGCATGCTGCAGCCTAAACCTATTGCATGGCATGGCAGGGGAAGCAGGGCCTCGTTGATTGCCAAGAAGGGCAGCACCTGGCCCCGGGCAGTGGCGGTGAGTTGCCCAACGGTGTGCCGGTGCTGATCACTCGATCTGGTACGTCTGCAGTGCTCAGCTGGAGGTAGAATTCTGCAATGTGTTTCCATGTCCATGTGCAGGGAGCCGCGCGACCGGCGGGCCGACGCCTGCGCAATCTCGGCGCGCCGTGCGCCCAGTCCCCGGACCACGTCGAGTACCCGGCGGTGTACCGGGCGGAGGAGTACGCGCTCGAGACCTTCGACAGCGATGACTACAGGCACGCCCCCCTCTACGACCCGGACGACTACGACACCCAGCTGTGCCCCCTGGTGCCGCCAAGGAGCCCGCCTGCACGGACGGCACTGCCGCGGGCCCTGGCCGCACAGGCCTGGGGCCGGTGGAGGGCGGCTGCGGCACGGCCGCGGGGCGCCTCCCGTCCCGAGGCTGCCCAGGGTGACAGGAATAATCTCTGGGAGGCGTCGCCGTCGCCCTCGCCCAGCCACTTCCCCGACGCAAAGCAGCCAGCGCCGCCCCGCCTGCGGGTGCCCACTCCCGGCTCCCTCCTGCGCCTCCTTCAGCGCTTGAACATCGCGCTGAGCGCCACGCTGGGCGCGCTGGGGGTGCTGCTGCAGGAGGGCGCCGCGCGGGCCGGCGAGGCCCTGCGCGCCGTCCGCGCTGCGGCGCTGCGCCGCTATGCTGGCAGCCGCGTGCAGCTGGCGCTGCAGTCCTGGCGCGAGAGCTGGGCGGAGGCCGCGCAGGAGGTGCCGGAGGTGAGGTGACTCGCTGTGGTGTCTCCCTGCGCAGAGGCGGCGTGGGTACGAGCGTTCTTGAGTGACATCATGGGAGTTGATGAAAGGGTACCTAGGGGTTGCTTTGCGGGTCTGGCCTGGCATTTGCCAGTCCCTTGGACCCTCGCCGCCCCTGACCCCCCGTGTGCTCTTCCCACCATACCTCACGTATACACACACCAACACACACCAAGTTAAGTCCAACGCACACAAACCAATTTCTCAGGACGTGTGGGGCAAGGCAGTGTGGGCCTGGGAGCGGCCCTGGCTGCGCAAGCTGCGCCTGACGGTGGGCATGGCCAACCTGAGCTACCGCCTGCCGGCGTTGCTGGCGCTGGTGGCCACGCAGGTCACGCTGCTGGCCAGCCAGGTGTCGCTACCCATGCTGGCGCCGCTGCTGCTGGGCACGGGCATGCTCCTGCGCTCCCTCCGCGCCAACGCCAGCTTCATCTTCCCCCGCATCGGCCTCATGGTGGTCCTGCTCTGGGCCCTCTGGTTCTTCCAGGGCGTGGTCCAGAACACCGTGGCCTACCTTCGCAAACAGGTGTGTGTTGGTATGTGTGTGGGGGCTGTTTGAGTAAAGAAATGGGGGACTTCTCTGTTTTCGGGGTCGGGAACGGAGGGTTGGGATGGGAAGGGAGGGTCGGAAGGGTGTCAACAAGGTTGTTCTGGAATGGCCAAGGCGCTCAAGGAGCGGGCAATAATGCAAAGGAGGCCCGACTTGATGCCCGACTCAGCACCTTTCCTTGGCGCCCCGCCACTTCGACAGGGCGCGCTGGACCAGCGACTGGCGGGCGGCATCATCACCACCAGCGAGATCAGCGGCCTGCTGGCGGCGGTGGTCATCCTGCTGAGCATGCTGGGCATCAACGTGTCGGCCCTGCTCCTCCCCGCCGGCGTCGCGCTGGCGGTGGCGGCCCAGGACCTCACCCGCAACTTCCTGGCCGGTTTCTTCCTCTTCGTGGTGCAGCCCTTCCGCCTGGGGGACAAGGTGGCGGTCGGCGTGGCGGGTGGGGGGCCACCGGGGGCCACCGGTCCTGCAGGGCCCTGGTTCGAGGGCGTGTGCGAGAAGGTGGACCTGCGCTACACCTGCATCCGCTCGGGGCGGCGCCGCCTCATGGTGCCCAACTCCATCTTCATGGCGCGAGAGTTCTTCGTGATGGACGACGTGCCCGCTGCCGGAGGTGCCGCGGACAACCCAGGCATGCGCGGCCCCGGCGCACCCGGATACGCGGGGCCGCAGCAGCCCCTGCCAGGGCTGGACCCGCACTATGCGGGCCACGTATGGCAGCTGGTCCAGGGCCCGCCCGTGCACGCTGAGGTGGCGGCCGCGGCGGCTGCAGAGGGCAGCGTGGAGGGGGCGGCGGTGGACGGCGAGGAGGGGGGCCCAGGCGCTGAAGCCTCGCCCGCCCGGCCGACTACGAGGGGCCTGCGGCCCCGGGGGCCAAGCCAGCCGCCGGCCTACACGACCTACCCCTTTGCCCCGGGGGTGCCGCCGTGGGGGCCCTACGGGCCTTATCCCCCGCCCTACACGGGAACGCACTGACGGCAGACGCGACGGCCCCCTTCCCTTCCACACACCTTCTCCACCAGCATGCTAGCGCTGCCATACCCCGAACGAAAACCGATACATGCCCTCGTTGTACCCAAAATCCCTGACCCTGTAATAATCTCTCTGCCTGCATCTGTGGATGACAGTGGGAAACCTAGTATGATGGGTGTCTTCACGCTCTCCATTCCAGAGATGCTGCTATGGTTAGGTGCCAGGATACTCAAAACCGAGAAAAGTGATTGCGAGACTGCCTGAAACCCAGACCCTTGGGGGCGCACCACCTCGACACATCGCCCGATCTGGAAACCTCAAGGTCCCCCGACATGGGCCCGCCCGTGCGAGTTGCCTTGCTCGGCGGTGGGACATTCGCTCGGTCGGCGTACCTGCCCCTGCTCACACCCGGGCAGACGGATCGCACTCTGATCGGCATCTGGAGCCGGACACGGGAGTCGGCGGAGTCGGCGGCTGGTGAAGCAGGAGGGGTGCCTTCCTGGCATGGAGAGGTGGGCCTGCAAGAGGTGCTGGCCCGGCCAGATGTGGATGCGGTCATCGTGGTCGTGGCTGCCCAGGCCACACTCCAGGTGGGGCCTGTACGGCGAGAGCCAAGGGGAGTGCGATCCTGGTTTGCTTGTCAGGACAGCCACTGGCGCTGAGAACCACCATGGAGCGGAGGCCAAGATAGAGCTCCCGGGCACCCCTTCATTCCTGCCATCCCCGAGCCTGCCATTCCAGCGGACCCCCCAGATATCTCGCCCCAACACACAAATCCACAGATCGTGCGGCAGGCGCTGGCGGCGGGCAAGGTGGTGCTGTCGGAGAAGCCGGCGGGCCCCACCGTGGCGGCCGTGAAGGAGGTGCTGGATTGGATGCAGGCCTCTGGCATCCCCGCAGCACGCTGGTCGGTCCAGGAAAACTACCGCGGCGAATCGGGCCTCGTCATGGCCGCTGAGCTGGCGAGATCTGGCGCGCTGGGGCGCCTGGTCAAGGCCGACCTCGTGGCCGAGCTGCCCATGAACCCCGGCAGCAGGTACTACGCCAGCGCCTGGCGCCGCCAGCTGCCCGGCAGCTTCCTGCTGGAGGGCGGCGTGCACTTTGTGGCCGCGCTGCGCCTGGTGTGCGCCGCGGCGGGGGCAGGGGAGCCGGGCCGGGTGTCGGCCCTCCTCACCCGCGGCAGCGAGGGCGTGCCTGGGCCCGATACCCTGGTCGGCTGGGCGCGGTTTGACGGCGGCGTGCCGGCGGGCGTGAGCATCACCCAGGCGGGCGCGATCCCCCGCCTCTGCGTCACCCTCGTCGGCACCCAGGTTTGGATGGTCGTGTGGATTGCTCGCGGGGTGAGCCCAGGTGCACGGGGTCGAGCGTCGTGGCCCTGCGCCGCTTTCGCCACTCCAGCACGCTCCACACCCCCCGTCAGGACCTCCTCTCCGCACGGCGCAGGGCACGATCGAGGCCAAGCGGGGCCAGTGGGGGGCGTGGACTGCGGCGCCTGCCAACAGCTACACCCTGCACGCAGAGTCGAGCGGCGACGTGCCCGCCTCCGTTGACCAGCGCGTGCTGCCTTTCGACGGCGTGGGCACCCAGGTCGGCGCATTCGTGGCGCACGCCGCCGCCCTGCGGGACGGACGGGATGCTGAGCTGGACGCCAGCCTCAGCGTGCAGGAAGCTGCGCGGGACCTGGCCCTCATGGAGGCGCTGCTGAGGTCGGGGGAGCGGCAAGGCGAGGCGGTGGACGTCGAAAGGCTAGCCTGAGGGGGGGGCTGCTTGCTTGTAGAAGGGTAGCGACGTGCCCTGGCTGTGCTGCCATGAATGGCGGCAGGCTCAGCGAATCGGAATCTCGGCATGGAAACGACCCCCACGTCTATACGACTGTAGAAAAACGACACCAAGCAACCACTGGACTCTGATCCCTGGTACACGTTTCTCTCTAATGGCACTCACGGACCTGGGTACGGCTTGCAATGAAACCAGGGCACCGTTCCCTCGCGCCAAGCCTCTTGGGTTGCAGGTCAACCAAGCAACATCAAGCCAGCCCAACATCGCATCGCACCACTCTCAGTCACAGTCCCAGAAATCCGCATCAGGCAGCAGCCTTCTTCTTCACCGCACGGATCATGCCGTACTGGACCAGGCCATCCACGAATGCACGGTGGAAGCGCTCCAGGGTCACCCCGTCCCGAGCGCACTTGTACCACAGGTGCGGCTGCCAGGATTGGGTGACAGGGTGGCTTTTGTGAGGTTGGACCTTGGTTGTGGAATGTGATGCATGACCCAGGCCTTGACGCTCCTTCACAAACCATAGGCGCGTGCACTGAACCTGCCCTTCGCTCCAACATGTGACATTCCGCCTCACACTTCCCCCTGCCTCCCCCTATTCCCGCCTTCCTCCTGCCCACCTTGCTGACCACAATCCAGGGGTCGTAAACCCCGACCCACGATGGAGTGGCGACCAGGACGGGAGCGTGTACTTGGCCCAGTCCTCCAGGTGAGCCGCCTCCATCACGCCGGTCCCCTTGGTGAGATGGAAAAGGGGAAGGGGAGGCTCAGGTGACACATGAGGTGCTGGGCGCCACACAGTAAGCGGGATGCATGGAGTGGGCCCCAGGCACAGCGCCTGCATACCCCCGGCGCGCCTCAGCCCCTCCTCCCTCCCCAGATCGGAGCAGGCCGTCTCACCTGCACCAGGCGGCCGTACTCCTCCTTGCTGATGAAGTAGGGGTGCGCCCATTCGTCGTACAGGAACTGCAGGCGCTCCTTGTCGCTGGCGGTGAAGGGGTTGGCCGGCGTCACCTCCCGCTGGCACCAGGTGGCGATGACGAGGGTGCCCCCGGGCTTCAGCACACGCACCATCTCACGCACGTAGGCCCCCTTGTCGGGCATGTGCTCCCCGGACTCGCAAGCCCACACCACATCGAAGGAGTTGTCGGGGTAGTCCATCTTCAGCGCATCCATCACCTGCGGATGCGGGGCGGGGGGAGAACAGGCATGAGCTAGCATCCCAAGCATGTCAGGAGCTTGAGAAGGTGACGATCTCCAGGATATGGGGGGCTCGGGGACAGCAACCAACGGACTGGGGCCATGTCAACCTGTGCGCGGCTTCCCCCATCCTCTCCTCTTCCGCCGCGCCTTGAATTCGCAGTTTGCGAGCCCCTTCTCGGCGGCCAGGGCTGTACCCCGGGCGACTTGGTTGGGCGACAGCGTGATGCCTTTGATGCGGAGGGGGAGGTGGGGGAGCGTAGCATTGGGGGTGAGGGCAACGGCGCAAGGCGACTCACAGCCACAGGGTTGATGGTGTGAAGAGATGCCAGGCTGAGCTGACTGCCAACTCACAGGCTGAACCTCCGTGCTCAGGGCACAGCCCAGGTAAACCTGAATCCCCACCAAGTCGTGCTCACAGCCCCAAAGTCAGCGCACCAGCGACCTTGGCACCGGGAAAGCGGGAAGCCAGCATCCGCGTGGTGCCGCCAATGCCGCAGCCCACATCCAGGATGCTGCCGGGGTTGGACACCCCCGCGAATTGGATCATGCGGTCCACAAAGTCGTGCTTGGCCTGGATGAAGTCCTTCTTCTTGTACCCCGCTGCTTGCTCCTGTCGGGGTGGAGGGGTGAGGGACTGGTTTGCATGATGCATGTGATTGTGATTCCAAGTGGCAACTTCCCTAGTGTTGATCTTTCCCTAACCCCATGCGTGCCGCATGGATGCTCTGGGCATGGCAGGAGGACTTCCGCAGGTAGTCCTACGCACCCTTCTTCCCTCATCACCCCAATGGCGTACCTCCTCGGTGTAGTACCCAAGGTGGATGTGCTCGCCCCAGTAGTGCTCCAGGATGCCCTCCCTGGTCCATGCATCGTACTCCTTGCCCACGTTCTGGCCATCGTAGGTTCGAGACGGGGTGTCGAACACCTTTTTTATGGCCCGAAGGCCCAGAGCGGCTCCCCCAAGGGCCACAGCGGCCACCAGGGGAGTGGGGACCTCAGTGCCAAGCAGGACAGGCCCCGCCCTGGCAGTGGGCGTCACCGCGGCAAAGGGCACCCGATCACTACTCCTCTTGCTCGATCTCTCCATGTGTGACACGCTATGCTGCTCTGACCCCGTGACTCGACATGTTACCGCGCTGGCCCGCCGGGGGGCGGTGCTCCATTGGGAGGTCACGGCACGGGCACTCGGCGTCGTGTGTGCCACTGGAAGCGCCTGCATGCTTGTTGCGCCAAATTCACGCGATCATGGGCCGGCAGTGATCGACGTTTGATGTGCCAGATCGAAGCAGTACTGGGGAGTCTAGCTGGGTGGCTCTTTCATGAGGAGGGGACGACCGAATCGCGCAGGTTATCGAGTTGACGGGGTGGCTGGGAACTCCCCGTCCCCTCAACAACACCCACCGGTTCCAAACCCCCCGCTGAGACGTGTGCCGCCCGCATGCGGCGCATCGGTACTCGTACATGTGTTGCATACATTTGCATGGTACAGGCTGCGCATGCACGGCGGCCCCGGGGGAGGGGAGGGAGATGGACGTGTGGCAGACGGGGCACTTGCCCTCGGGTCACTCCTCTAACTCCTCGGGCCCCCTCCCTCACTGCTTGGGCGGCGTGCTGGGCGGCTCCGGCTTGTCGTAGCTGAACCCCGGCGGGTGCAGGGAGGGCAGGCGCGGGCTCCACCGCGCGCCGGCTGCCTCCCCCTCGCCCGCACCCGCGCCCGCATCCGCCGGCGGAGCCTCATCGGCCCCTGCTCCACGTGTCCTCGACACGCTGCCGTAGATGGACAGGGCCTGGGCCACCATGGCCGCGGGGTCGTTGGCCGAGGTGGGGAGGAGCATGGTGGTCCCCTTCTTGGCAATGGACCCAAAGGCCTCCAGGTACTGCTCCGCCACGCGCAGGCTGACCGCGTTCCGGCCGCCGGGCGCCTCGATGGCCGCGGCCAGGCGCTGGATGCCCTCCGCCGTGGCGGCCGCGCGGCGCAGGATGGCCTCCGCCTCTCCCTCCGCGCGGTTGATCTGGTCCTCGCGGGAGGCCTCGGACGCCAGGATCACCTCCGACTTCTGGGCCTCCGCCACGTTGATCTTGGACTGGCGGTTCCCCTCCGACTCCAGGATCTGATGTTTGGGGAGGAGGGAAGAGAAGGGAGGGGGGCGGGGTTGAGATTCTGAGCGTGTGAGCACGAGGCCGGTTCATGCTGGCTCCCGGCGCCGATCATGGCCTGCCCAGGGCAGGAAACTCGTGTGCCAGGGTTGGGTCATGCCGGTGCGCGTGTCCAGCATCGAACTGTCAAGACTCAGAGGTCCAGGCTCCCCAATGATACGATTTGAGATCATGCCCGCATTGGGGGCCCCGTGATCCAGTCCTCACCCTTCACTGCAGGGCAATTTACGCCGTGCACCAGTCGGTGCAAATCCCCCCCCCGTTCCATCCCCCCGTCCTCCCGCGCACCTGCGCGCGCTTGCGCCGCTCGGCCTCGGCCTGCAACTCCATGGCCCCGCGCACGGAGGCCGGGGGCATGATGTCGCGGATCTCGTAGCGCAGGACCTGAAGCCCCCACTGGCTGGCGGCGGGCTGGATGGAGGCCACGATGGCGGAGTTGAGCATGTCGCGCTCTGCAAACACCGAGTCCAGCGTGATCTTGCCCAGCTCGCTGCGCATCGTGGTCTGCGCCAGCTGCGTCACCGCGTACAGCGCGTTCTCCACGCCGTAGCTGGCGGCGTAGGGGTCGGTGACCTTGGTGTACAGCACGCCGTCGATGGTCAGGGAGACGTTGTCCTTGGTGATGGCCATCTGGTTGGGCACCGGGATGGTGGTCTCCTGTGGTTGTTGTCACGAGCAAAGTGAGAGGGTGAGGGGGGAAAGGGGGTTGGTTGTGGTATGGAGTACGAGGATGGGGCAGGGGCTGGGAGCCGGGAGCGTTTCTGAGAAGGAGGCCTCAGCACCCGAGAGCAGTGGGCCCGCCGGGCGCCTTGCGTGGCGGTCTGCCTGGGCACGCTGAAGGAGGGACGCCACGCCACCAGCTCCTCTCACGCATGCACGCACCTTGAGGGAATGGGCGTAGGCGATGCGATCTACCTGCAGAGGGTGGCACGAGGGAGGGGACGCATTTTACCCAGTGCCAGCTTCCCAGTCACTCCTGACTCACTGCCCGGAACAGGCACAATACCAGGGGGCGCCTCGCGCATTCCCAGATGCCAATAACCCACCCTTAAAACCGCACCACGGGGATCAGGATGTGGAGGCCCGGGCTGAGCGTGCGGCTGTACTTGCCAAACCTCTCCACCACAAAGGCCATCTGCTGGGGCACGATCCGCAGGACAGTGTTGGCGGGGGTGGACTTGGTCGCAAAGGGTGTCATCTCGAAGGGATCCCGGGCCAGCGTCAGAATGCTGGAGTGGAATCCCCTGGCACAGGCCCCGGTGGGACCCTCCGCCAGGAGCCCGGCGCCGCGGGCCTGCAGCAGGCGCGCGAGCACCAGTGATCGCCGCATGGTGTCGTGAAAATAATTTCTGAACAATCTAATGTGTACAGGATCAGAGTATGTATGCCGCAGCACAGCACGACACGGTCAGGAGACCCGATGGATACATCACCATCATTTGCGCCCGAACTGTATCCCGCGTTTTTCAACATCAGCAAGAGTGCTCACCGGAACCCGCAGGCCCCCAAGATCGTGTACTTTCCACGGATCTGCGATTTAATCAGAGGGAGAGCTCCTTCATCCCCCACTTGACTGCCTCGCACAGGTGTTCGTTGGAGGTCTCCCCCGCACCGTCCGGCCTGCCCTTCCTGCCCGGAAGATGGCTCTCCGGGCCGTATTTGTCGTGGCTTGCCTGTGCTTGAGTTTAACTGCGCGCGGCGCCAAGCACTCCTTCACCGCGGGGGACAAGGTCACGCTCTGGGCCAACAAAGGTGGGGCCGGGCTCCGTGAAGGTTGGTGTCCCGAGGTGGCCCGGCTTTGAAAGATCCCCACCCCTTCCCCCGCTCCCGACGCCCCTCGCAGTGGGACCCTTCTCCTCGCCCAGTGAAACCTACCAGTACTACGACCTGCCCTTCTGCCAGCCTGAGAACAAGGACAACAAGCTCCTCACCCTGGGGGAGGTGCGACAGTTGGGAGCCCAGCCCGCAGATTCCCAGATGGCGGCATTGCTGCTGGAAGCACCCTGGCCCTGCGCAGTATGATCACTCTGCCAGCCCTCAGAGTCCACCAGGCTGCCGAACAAGCACTCCACCCCCTTCCTCGCAGGTTGTGGATGGGAACCGCATGGTCGCCACTCCCTACGACCTCTCCTTCCGCGTCGACAAGGACAAAGCCACACTGTGCTCTCGCCACCTAGGCGTGGAGGACATCAAGGCCTTCCGCACGGTGAGTCGTTGGGTGTTGGCACTGGCGGACTGTAGCACCTTGGTGTTCCGTGTCGAGGCCAGCGGAATGGTCGCCTTGGCCTGGGTTACCGGGATTTGAATGCCTCTGCCGCTGATCGCCTGGCTGTGCCTTCAGTGGCCAACCGCTCTCCCCCTCCCATCCTTCCCCTAAGGCCCTAGCCAAGGACTACTACTTCCAGTTCTTCTATGACGACCTGCCCATCTGGGGCTATGTCGGCAAGGTGGAGACCATCAAGGGTGCGTGTTTGCTGGAGTTCTCTGGGGTATCATTTCAAGGGAGTGGCTTTGGGGGGAGGGGATGGAGGGACTTTGCTAGCCATGTTTGCAAGCTCAAGACAGGTGGCCTCCATTCCGTAAGGACTGTGTCCCAGCGGCCGGGAGACACCAAGACCGGTGTTTTGTGCTGCCTGGTTTGTTCGATCACTCTCATCCATGCCAAACTCCTCATAGGTGCTGATGCTCACAATTCCCCATTCCATGCCCCCACTGCCTTGTCGCGCCAGATGCTGACAGCAAGGACACCAAGAAACTGTTCCTCTTCACACACATCCACTTTGACATCGCCTACAATGAGGACCGCATCATCGAGATTAACGTGAGCCAGGGTTGCAGGGCGAAAGAGTGCTGGTACTGTATGGGGGAAGGGGATGGGGAGGTGGTCTTAAGTCCCTTTCCAGGAGGCACCCATGTCCCTTCACAATTCGTAAACGTTGCTATCACTCACATCGCATCAACCCCTTTCCCTCGGCCCCCCAGGTCTCGACCGACCCGACCCAGGTGGCAGATCTGTCCGAGGGCGGCGCCGAGGAGCAAGACGTCACCTTCACTTACTCGGTGACCTGGAAGTCGTCCCTGCTTTCTTTTGACAAGCGCATGGACAAGTACAGGAAGTACCAGTTCCTGAAGCAGCACCTGGAGGTGCGTGGCTGGTGGGCTTTGGTGATGGGACTGAGATGCGGATGTGGCGGCGTGGGATGGAGAGCAATCGTATTGACACTGGGGCAGCGTGCTTGAGCATGAGGGGTGGAGGGTCCCTGGGGAGCATCTTGCCCCTTCTTGTTACCGTAGAGGGGTACCCCTGTGCCTGTCTTTGGGTTCTTCAGGGCTCGCTGCGCCGACGCCGGGCTCCACCTTTCAAGTCGCGCCCCCTCCCTGGCTGTGCCCCGGCCTGCAGATCCACTGGTTCTCCATCATCAACTCCTGCGTCACCGTGCTGCTCCTCACCGGCTTCCTGGCCACCATCCTCATGCGCGTCCTGAAGAACGACTTTGTCAAGTACTCGCGCGACGACGAGGTGGGCTGAGCGGGTGTAGCTTGGAGTGCCCATGGCGGAGCAATGGGCTGGGGGTTCTGGGGTGGGCGCCGTCACTCTGGGGTCCTGCGGCGCGTCTGTGCAGGGCTCTTGCTGCCTGGCCGACCTCGGCTTGCCCCTGGCCACGAGCCTGAGTCGATCCCTCCCCAACCTCCTGCCCCCCTGAACCCCGAACAATCGACATCCGGCCAGGACCCCGACGACGCCGAGGAGTCTGGCTGGAAGTTTGTGCACGGCGACGTCTTCCGCTTCCCGCCCGCCCGCTCCCTCTTCTGCGCCCTGGTGGGCACCGGCACCCAGCTCCTCGTCCTGTCTTTCTGCGTGTTTGGCCTGGCCCTGGTGGGCGCATTCTACCCCTACAACCGCGGCGCCATGTTCACCGCCCTCATCATCCTCTATGCCCTGACGGCGGGTGTGTGTGTGTGTTTTGCACCAGCATGCTTTGTGGTTGGGGGGGTGGCCACCCAGCCTTGCCAGTGCCGACAGCGCGTGGGTGCGGATGATGGGAATGGCTGGGAGAAGCTCACGGGCGCCACACGGGGGCAATGGCCCCTCCGACACCATGAGGATGTACCACCCACCCACCCTCACCCCCATCCCTTTGTCTCACCACAGGCATCTCGGGGTACACCTCTGCGAGCTACTACCGCCAGATGGAGGGCACCAAATGGGTGGGCAACTTGCTCCTCACCTCCTCCATCTTCTGCGGCCCCCTGTTTGCCATCTTCTGCGTCAACAACACCGTCGCCATCGCCTACGGGGTGTGTGTGTGAATGTAGAGGGCAGTCGGACGCCTGGGGTCCGGCGGGATCCTGCCATCGGGCTGGAGTGGGCCGGCGCCATACCTGCCGCCGCCGCACTCAGCACGCTGCTCAGCCCTCTGAGCCTGCCCAACGCCTCTTTGCTCGCAAGCCCACTGCCCAAGCCCCACCCCCCCCTGCTCCCGCTGCAGTCCACGGCCGCCCTGCCCTTCGGCACCATCGTCATCATCCTCCTGCTCTGGGCGCTGGTCACCGTCCCCCTGACCATCGTGGGCGGCGTGCTGGGCAAGAACACACGCACCGAGTTCGCGGCGCCCTGCCGCACCAACAAGTACCCCAGGTGGGCACGCCGGGGCCGCAGGGTGTCCGGGGTTTGGAGAATGAGGTTGGAGGTGTGGAGAGCCGACGGTGTGCCTGTCTGGCGCCCAGTTACTCGGCTGCACCCGCGTCCCAACAGCCCTCTTGCCAGTGTTGCAGCTTGTCGTGCCGAGGCCCATGTCATGGTGGCGCTGGCCCGCAATCGCCATGATCTTGCGTGTCTTGCCATACCAGCCCCCTCTCGCTGTTCGGAAGACTTCTCAGAGGATGTATTGCCTCGCACTGATTACCTCCCTCCCCCCCTCCCCCCCCCAAAAACCAATGCACAGGGAGATCCCTGAGCTGCCCTGGTACCGCAGTGTGATGCCCCAGATGGTGATGGCCGGCTTCCTGCCCTTCTCCGCCATCTACATCGAGCTGTACTACATCTTCGCCTCTGTCTGGGGGCACAAGGTTTACACCATCTACTCCATCCTCTTCATCGTCTTCTGCATCCTCTGCGTGGTCACCGCCTTCATCACCGTGGCCCTCACCTATTTCCAGCTGGCGGCGGAGGACCATCGCTGGTGGTGGCGCAGCTTCCTGGCGGGCGGCTCCACGGGCATCTTCGTGTACGCCTACTGCTTCTACTACTACTTGGCGCGCAGCGACATGAACGGGCTCATGCAGGCCACCTTCTACTTTGGCTACAACCTCATGGTCTGCCTCGGCTTCTTCCTCCTCCTGGGCTACATCGGCTGGTGAGTGCACACAGGGAGGGGTTGGGTGGGAGGAAGGGCCTGCTGCAGAACACCTCCCTGCCTGACTCAAACGGCCGACGCTGCAGGACCCGATGTGGGGTGGAGTGGGGTCGCGCTGCGTGAGCTCTGTGACCACACCACCTACTCCTGCATGACCACCCCATGTGACCCACTGTACAACCCAATTCCCATTCCTCTTCCATCACAGGCGGTCGTCCCTGCTCTTTGTGCGCCGCATCTACCGTGCCATCAAGTGCGAGTAGGAGCATCGTCGCTCCTGTGACAGACAGGACAGGGCCCTCCGCCCCCCTGTGTCTCCCAAAAGAACTGAGATGGAGAGGGCTCGTCGGCGGCGCGCATGCCACCCAAGAGAAGGGGCAAACCCTGGCGGCCTGCACCCCCTCGTTGCGTGGCCGCACCGGCCCCTCCTTCCCCTCGTGCTCCCTTTGTAATGTTCTGCCTCCTCAAGACCAGTCCATGCGGCGCAGGGGTGACGGTGGGTGGGACGCCAACTCCCCGTCCCTGCCAATGGAAGTTTGAGAGTTTCCGCTTGGAAACGTCAAACTCGGGCCGAGAAACCTCTCTGCGCGTAACGCATCTGCTCGAGGTCCTTCCCCCAGATCCCAGAGCAGCAAGGTTGCTCTACTATTATATTTTCATTCACTCCGGAGCCATGCCGGGGGAACGCTTCAATGTCAGGCTGGCGCCCGAGGAGGGTGGATCGCCCGAGCCCGTGGTGGTAGAGGTGGGCCTGGAGGGCCTGAACCTCCTGGCCCCCGGATCTGGACGGGCGCTCCGCAAGTATCCATTGCACCACATCAGCCGCTGGTCCATGCGGGGCAGCAGCCTGATCCTGTTTGCCAAGAGCCCGGTAGGTTCCGGGGAAGCGAGGGGTCTCGGCGCAGCCTGGCCCAGCTGGCCGCGCGGGGCCTGCATCCCTCACTGTGTGACGGAGCACATGACCCTGAGGGTTCCTCCATATACCTGCAGGTGGACGTGGAGGACAGGACGGTGGTCCTGTCGGGGGACGAGTACACCATTCGGTCTGTGCTGGACACCCTTACCTCCAGCTGCATGCAGTGAGTCTTCGGGCTGGCTCGGCCGCGTGCCGGGGACCATGGTGCCTGATTGTTGTTTGGCAGATCCTGCAGGCCGTGGGATGTGGGCTGTACAAAGAGCCTGGCCCTTGCAGGTGCCCGTGGCAATCCTTGGTCGCAGTGCGATCGGCTCCCCCCCCTCCACCCCTCGACAATGCCAAAGGATGGCGGAGCTGCTGCAGAGCGGCCGCACCGTCCCCGGCACCTCGGACGGCGCCCTGGCCGCCTCCTCCCTCTCCAGCCTGCTGAAAAAGGCAAAAAAAACGGCGCTGCTCACCGCCGATCAGGTGGAGTTCTGGCACGACCCGGAGAAGGCGGGCTGGATGCACTCCCAGGGCGAGGTCATCCGTACCTGGCGGAAGCGCTGGTTCGTCCTGAAGCAGGGCTTCCTGTTCCGCTTCTCCGGGCCGGACGTCACCGCCGCCAGCCGCGCGCGCGGCGTGGTGGACCTCTCCACCATCACCGACGTCTGCGACGGCGGCCCAGCCACGGGCCGCCCCAACTCCATCCGCCTGTCCACGGCCACCGGCAAGATCTGCTACCTGGCCGACAGCGAGACCGCGCAGGTGGAGTGGCTGTCGGCGCTGGAGGGCTCCGTTGCGGCCATCCTCCGGGTGCTGAGCGGGTGGGAGGAGGAGGCGGAGGAGGCGCCGGCCAGGGCACCGCGCGGCGGCCGCGGGCGCGCCGTCTCCTCTTCCGACCCGGGCAAGGCGCTGGAGGAGACGCTGCAGCGCAGCTTCGCTGCGGAGTCTGCTGCCGCGAAGGGGCCGGTGGGAGGCAGTGGGCGGCGGGCCGCCGCTCCGGGCATGATCAGCGTGGTCAACTATGCCGGGCTCAGCGGCGGCAGCAGCAGGTCGGAGCCCGAGCCCCAGTACATCAACGTCGACTATGGGGCTGGCATTGCAGGTGTGATGTGTGGTGCCTGGAGAGGTGGTATTGTTGTGAGGGAAGAATGTTGGTGGGGATGTGGAGAGGGGATTGAGAGGCAGGATTCTTGCTTTGCTGTCTGGGGGAGTCCTGCAACGACACCCTGTGCATGAGGGGTCTGGAGCGCCTCCCACTTCGGGATCAGGACTGCAGGCTACACTGTAGCTTGCATCCCACAGCTTGCATCTCCTCATACCTTGGCTACACGGGTCAGAAAACATGATCACAATTGCTCAGGAACCCTCGACCCTCTTGCATCCCCTGACCCAGGTGCCAGCCAGCTTCCATCGAGCGGGGCCAGGTATGGCGCACAGCCGTACGGAGCGGGGCCCTCGGGAGGATACGGTGGCCACCAGGCCTACACTACGTCCCAGGGCTACGGGGAGGGCCCCGGGCAGCATTGCGCCCCAGCCCGTCACGGCGCCCCGCCGCAGTACGATCCCGCGCAGCACGGGGGCGTCCTGCAGCACGCTGGGCCCCAGCAGTACGAGGCGCAGCAGCAGCGGTATGAGCCCCAGCAGCAGGTGCGGTACGACGTGCAGCAGACCACGCTGTTTGACGCCGCCACTGCGCCACAGGTGAGGAGCTTTCTAGAATGACTTTGCAGGGTATGTGCTGCTTCATGCTTGCTGGCTCACGGCATGTGGGTGCTGTTCCACAGGTCTACTTGGTGCTCGCACACTGCATTGCGCAGCTTTCCTCGTGATGAAGCAGCGATGATCAGGACCCTCCCAACCCCGGTTGCAGGCTGCCCCCAACCCAGCACCGTCGGGACCTTGGCAAACTCACCACACGGCGGAGGGCAGACCCTACTTTTACAATGTGGTCACAGGCATCACGCAGTGGGAGACACCGGTGGCGTAAAGGACGGGACGGCAGCTCCATGAGAACATCCGAGGCATGGCGTTGGTGACCCCAGCTCCTGCCGCATGCTGCGCTCCAAAGCGTGCGCCCCCCCGATACAAATCGAGGATGTTGCCAGGTGCCATACGCAGTGCTCTCTGCCCTGCAAAACAGTTGCTGTCATCGACTTGTATAGCATCCCGTACGTAATCGACATTGAACGAGGTTCGATCCCGCGGCCGGCCGCCCAGGGGCTGTGGGGGATGGTGGTTCCGTAGTCGAGTCGCCCAGATCACACGCGATCCGGGAGACCATGAGCATCGTGCGGGAGCTGCGCCAGGCAGTGGTGGACTGCAATGCGCGCGGCCTGATGGAGTCCTCCCGCTGGGCAGCGCAGCAGCTGGCTGGGTTGCCAGAGGAGGAGACGGGCACTGGGGAGGCGAGCCTGGAGCCTGTGCAACCGGTCTGGAGCAGGGAGGACGACAGACACGCCCTGGCTCGCTGTCACTTTGATGTCAAGGTGCTTTGTTTGGTCTTATGCCTGCAGCGATGGGCGCTGCTTGCGGATATTGAAGGGGAGTCCCTTCCAGAATGAGCCTCCCCTACTGCGTGCCACACTCGATTCCACCACACCTCTCCCCACTGCAGGAATACAGGAGTGCGGCACACGTCCTCTCAGACTGCACATCCCCCAAATCCACCTTCCTGAGGCTCTACTCCCTTTACCTAGCCGGCGAAAAGAGAAAAGAGTAGGTTTGTCTGTCTAGAAGGGGGAGGGGGAAGGGGGGAAGGGGGGGTGGGCCGAGCCGGTCTTTGGGGCCAGTCGGGCAAGGGTTTGCCACACACATCTCTTGGGTGGCTGGCATCTCATGTGGCTGACAGTAGTACCCGCAGCGCCGACCCGTGCCCAGCCGGCATCCCTGTTCCAGGCTCCCCACATCTCCCCACCTCCAGGGAGGAGCGGGCGGAGGCTGCCGGGGGCCGACCCCCACGTGTCAGCCCCCAGAACGCCGAGCTGGAGGGCCTGGAGGCGGAGCTGTCCCGCCTGTGTGCGGGCTCCGCCGACGGCTTCCTGCTCTACCTCCTGGGCCTGGTCCGCCTGGACGGGGCCAGCCTGGACGGTGCGCGCCAGGCCCTGGTGGCCGCAGTCCGGGCCTACCCCGCCAACTGGTGCGCGTGGAAGGCGCTGCAGCGCGCCTGCCCCGACCTGCCCGCCGCGCTGGCGCTGGGCTTGCCGGAGCATCCCGCTCGCGCCTTCTTCCTGGCCTCCCTGGCTGTGGACCTGCACGACAGCGGCGAGGCGCTGGGCTGGCTGGAGGAGCTGGCGCCGCGCTTCCCCGCATCCGATGTCCTGGTCCAGCTGGCGGCGGAGGCGCACTACAACCTCCAGAACTTTGACGAGGCCCAGGCCCTGTTTGAGGACCTGCTGGCCCGGGATCCGCATCGCCTGGAGGGTGGGGGGGGGGGGGGGGCGGAGG